TTAGCCTCTTTCGAAAACGTTCCTCTCCGTTTCCACTTCAGTCGTCATCAGTCGGATCGGTCGAAACCGTCATGCAATGTTGTTTGCCACTTTTATCCTCGTTCTATAGAAAATAAGGTTTCCCACGTGATTTTCTGGTTGCTTCTGCCGACCGGTCTTTTCGTGGCGCTCATTTCGAGCGGAAGGAATCAACAGCAACGCAATGAACGGTTGACAGCTCTGCGGATCTCTGTACTTGAACATGAATTACACAGTATTGATTATATGATCATCAAATCGATCCAATGTTTCTGTTCACGTGCTTCCCAATGCCAAGCACACTGGTGCACGGTTGGAAGCTCCAAGAAAGTGTTTCTGACAGGCATTGGCGAAGTTGTGGTCTTCTGCCTACGTTTCATAATAATTTGAGCCATCAGCAGGCTTTGACTTGTAAAAATATGGTTGTTATAAGGAAAAATCGACGACCTCCAAATTCAGAATTGCAAATTGTTTGTACATAAAAGCAATGCCCATAGCTTAATGGAAACAAGTGTTATCAAATGAATTAAAGCCAAACAAAACCAGTGGTAATTAATGGAACATACCTTTAAAGACACACTTCGAAGAGTGATAGTTCAGTCCGAAAGAAGGGTTCAGTTCGCGTGTGTCTTCTTCCATGATGTTACTGTACGCAGAGAGATTGGATAAAGTATAGCGTCGTGCTGCTACGGTTCCTAAAAGCCGGTTTGTCAGCAAAATGTTCTTCATGGAATATTGAATCGCGTACCCGGCAATTTACAGGCGTACAAGATGCCGACCAATAGGGCAGCACGAATAAAAGTTGTCAGACACGTTTCGGACGGCATGGAATACGTGAAAATGATATGAATCCAAATTCGCGGTTGTTTATTACACAAAATGACGTGAAGAGCTGGAGCTGAAGATCTTTGCTATAAGATCACCTCGGTCTGTGACGTCATTTGTCAAGGGTTGACTTTACTCCATGGAAAGTTTTGACAGTAGCCGCTTCCTTACACTTGTCTTCAAGCAATGACGTTAGCAAAGACTGTTGGTAGCATCGGTACATCAACAACGCACTGGATTCTCGGAAGTTTTCACTGCTCAGGAAAACCAATGCTTGTTGTGATGCGGCGGACGGCCTGGTGAGGTAATGAGAATTGCGGAAAACGTTAGCTTGTTTCCAACGTAAAAAGCCTCAGCAAGTAAAGCCGTTGAAGACAACTGCTCAGTGATGGAGGGAGCTCAGACTACATGTGTGAGTGTTCGATAATTCCTTTGGTTCGTGAATGTGACAGCGGACGATTGATGTGCGTCAGTCGCCTAGACACGACTTCTGGAAACATTGCTGAGGGCTTCAATCTTTAAATTCACGTCTAAAGTTGCGCCACCAGATCCTTTAAGGTATTGTGAGGTGACGCCTGACAGCATTTGTTAGTATGTGATTTATTTTTAGGAAAAGTTAAGTAAAAGTAATGAGACTGTTATCATTCATTATACAACCTTTTATTTGTCCACAGTTTTACTGACGTCTGAAAAGGTTTAGAATAGAAACTGACAAAATGCCAATTTTGAAACTTAAAACAGAGCATACTTAAATTTCAGGTAAAGTAAAACAAAATTGATTGAATAAAATAGTTTATTACAAAACTTGTTGACTCGTTCTTCAGAAAGCGCAGAATGCTTGGAGTTATTACAATTATTTCCAATCTTACCATGCTTTTTATATCATACAAATGTTATTATGATACTGATTGGCGTACAATTTTTCCAGGATCAGGTTTCGTGCCATATCGCACAATCAGCTAGCTCCTATCCGCAAGGGGGATTCAATGACATTTGAGTACCATTCGATGCACATCTTCTTTGCCACATCCACTTTGCTGTCGTTATAAATGAAGTTTCACGCGCGGTTACTTCTTATATGTTTCCTTGTGAACTTCAAAGCATCTTCTAGTTCCGGAATGCGTTAAATTCATGTTCACGCTTTTCTGAGGTTGTTTTGCGAATTGGAGGTCGCAGTTACTTCCTCGCCGGGTTTATTATGATCGGAGTGGGCCTCTTCTAACAAGAACTGCTTGAAAAAGACCATTGCGCATAGCTAGCTTCCGCTATGCTATATCATGCACAGCCTATATTTCGGAATTTTCGGCAGACATTCACAGTTTCCGGTGCCATTGAGAAAAATACATAAGCCATCACATTTTGGCCTAATTTATTGTAGCACCGCTCCCTTTCCCTCCTCCGCTATCCTGTTGAGTTGCAGGACACTTCTCAGCATCCCGAAATTTGTGTGTATTTTAGTTGGCTACGAGCCACCGTTCTAAAGCACTAGTGTTTTTCTTGATTTGCAAGCCAATTCCTCATAGATAAACAATTGTCATTATGATACATTTTAATTGCATGGGACTGATTCATTGATACTTGTATGAAATTTTTGCTGGCTTCATTGCACAGTCTTTCATTAATTTAAACAGCGTTTTACACAACAGCTTGAACACATTATTCCTCCTTACATGAATGCTTCAGTTTATGCCCTTCAGTCATTAGCCAATGCCTTACAGATGTTTGCTGCTTCTTTCTTGTGTTTTTTCCGTAAAAACGATACCCGATGCATGAGATGGTGAAACCTGTGAACTCATAAATGCTTGTCATTTGAAACTTAGACAACGACTAAGAGTAATGCTCAGAGTAGTCATTCTTAAGAAATTTCTCCTTGCATGCCTTTTAGAAAAACTGTTCCTCTTTACTATTTTGTTAACTAATTATAAACGAAGAAAAGCAATAATCATGAAAAAATTTATTGAAGCCAACTAGCTTAGAAATAGAAATCAGAAATACCCCATCACTCAGTTTAATGATCACTGATCTGAGCCACTCCGTCGTAAACCTTTGTTTAATATTAGATAGCGATGATGGTAACTACGATATAGTAGTATGAACCTTAAGCCAATATGGTCTACACGTAAGGATGCTAATATCAAGAATATTAATTTTCTGAATTTTGATTGCAATGTGTCAGCGCAAACACATTTCAAAAGACAGTACAACACTTGAAGATACGAACGATAACGTCTTGCAGTAACAAACACGGTAGGCAGGGAACAGTGGCTGAATTTTAACAACCGAAAAGCGTTGCTAGTGTCAAAGCAGCGGAAAGCTGACGTTTTTTGGAATATCACGCAGCGATCTTCCAGACACAGTTTGGACATTTAATGGAGCCATTTGTCAGGATCGGTGTACACGTACTTTATGAACGGTGCTGCCATATGTTCCATTCAAGCATAAAGTTTCATCCGGTTAAATTATTATCCTGAGTCCTCGTTACCGACAATAACTAAGTTGTGCCGAATGATTAAATACTTTTAGGAAGTAGCACTGGACATTTCCTTCGAAACAGCAGATTCGTTGTGGTGGATAGAAGTTATATTTTAAAACTGAATATGTTTATTATCAAAGAAAATTTTATCTGTTTCTGAACGCTTCATTTCTCTACGCTAAAATTCGGCTAATAAAAACTACTTTGCGATGTCCACCGTTAATAACGTTTATAAATTAATTAAATAAAAAAGTTGCATTCACTCGTGTTCAAACTTTGCCATTTTTGAAAACTCAAAAATGCATAAAAACAGTTTATTTGTGCACAATGCAAAGTCAGTCAATCAGCTGACTGAGAAGGAACGACGATTCGGCTGGTTTCACACGAGCCTTGTTCAGGATGGCCCTTGTTGACTGCTGCAGTTGGTTGCGTAGTGTTGCGGTGTCGGGAGCGAAAGGTGATTTAGATCCATGCTGTTGGTTTAATAATCTCTCAATAACTGGCTTGACACGCCTTCCTCAATCCGTACAGAGTTCTGTCGTTTGTCTCTGTTGACATTTTTGCAGGACTGGATAATTGAGGTTGCTCTGATTCGCCTGCTCAGCGAGATTCGTTCATTAAGGATGTCCGCGAAACATAACCATTCGGGCACATGACCTTTGTCTGCTGCGCGATTTCTGAGACTTTTTCACATTATTCTTTGACCCTGTTACAAGGGAAAGTTTGTTTCCTTCCGCACGTCGTTCGCGTTCGTCTACGCTCAACCATCTTCTGGTGTTTGGCAGGTGGTCTTTTGTTCTTTGAGTGACGGTGTTTTGGGTTCCTTCGATATAATATTTTCCGCAGTTGCGCAAAAGTTTGCAAATCCAACCTAAAGAGTTATTTTTATCAGTGTTAATTAACATATTAAACTTAGGGGACTTTCATACTCCGCCGCTGCCCGTCCCATGCCCGGTTGAGAAAGGAGGAGGATTGAAGACCGTGACAAGTCCCCGTAAAATTCAGCAACCTGCAATTCATGTTACCAAGGCCATCGAAAATTATACCGGCTCGGTCGTAGCCCGGCATACCAAGGGCCGCGCAAGCTGTTGGGGAACTGAGGCAGACTGCGAAAAGTCGGCGATCAAAACCTCAATATTGTCCTCATCCAGCCGTGGGGGGGGTAGCAGCACAACAACGGCTGACGACCACCGACGGAATCACGATGACGATACCACACAGCAATGGATTCCGTACCCGTTCTGAACGGAGGAGGCAGACAGCGATATGCCATTATAGCACGTCAGAAAGGGACAGACGAGAACAACACCGCCAGTGGGAGCTGAAAGTCAGAAATTGGAACATGTCCTCACTCAGAGGAAAAGAGCAAGAATTGGTTGATGATGCCATAAAGCCAACCCGGCATTGTCGGACTCTCCTCAACAAATCGCCCAGTCCCTGAACGCGTGAACCTCAATGAATGGCAGCTCTTCTACTCAGGCATCGATATCACTACTCGTGCTCAGGCCGGTGTTGGCGTTCTGGTAGATCCTAACCTTGCCAATAGAATAATCGATTGCAAGCCTATCAGCGGAAGGGTGGTAATCCTCAGACTGAAGCTGCAACAGGCTAATTCTATGACATCGGTACAGGTCTACGCGCCCAATCTGGAGGGAGAATATGAGACCTTTCTTGAGGAAGTGCAGTGTGCTCTGACCGAAGCGCCGAATACAGACTCCCTCATACCCATGGGCAATTTCAACGCGCAGGTTGGAGTAGACGCTGAGAAGTGGAACGGCGTAATTCGAAAAAAAAGGCGTTAGCGACCTCAATGGATTGTCGATTATGAACAGCTTCTTCGAACATCAAAAAGAGCATCAGTACAACTGGTACCGGGAAGCGTGTGCACAGAACTCGATGATCGAG